AGGTGCTGTGTGGAGTCAGCTGCAGAACATGAGCATCCTGCCAGTGGCCTCTCCGCAGACATGAGGATGAAAGGAAAGAGATCACGTCTGCAGCTTCCAGAAACACACAGAGAAGGTTTGCTCCAGCAAAAGGCAGAACAGGGGAGGCAGGAGAGGGCTGAAGACAGGAGCAAAGTGGGACATGACTAGGCCCCAAGTTCCCCCCTTGGCACCAACATATACCCCAGCACTTCCAGTGGAGCCCTGGGCATGCCCACTCCACAAGCAGCACCGCTGGACGTTTAACCCACAGACCCACACAACTGGATCACGTATCACCAGGAGTGACCCCCTCGCCCACCCCCTGATTGCTCCCAGAAGGCCCCTCCCCCACCCCTCACCACCCCTAAAGAGGTAAAACATAAAGAAACAGGAGCATCAAGAAGGAAAAAAGGAGCTCTGGGAACGCTAAAGAGAGCAAAGGGGTTGGGAACATAGGTCATAAGGAAAAGTGTGCTGAATTTAGCTGTAAAATACAGATCATGTCCGAGAATTTGGAAGAACCTCAAGATGTTTTGAGAAAAAGAGAAAAGCAGGAGAAAGAATGAGACAAAATGAGGAGGAACAGGAAGAAAAGGTAAATTCTGTGACCACAAGAGCATAGTGGGAATGTCCTTGACATTGCCAGAGATTAGAGAATAGGGAGGGGACAGAGGTCCAAGGCCTGAACCCTAATTTCTATGGCGACACAATGCAACCTTCACACAATTGATAAAAGAAAGCCACAACCAAAAGCTTATATAATTCCTTATATAACGCCCCCCCAAACACACACACACACACACACACACACACACACACACACATTCCCACCTTCACTCATTCATCTGTGGTAAAAGTTTCTGGGACAAGTGCGGAAGAAAGTCAATGGCTGGTGTTCAGAGGGTGACGCTGTACTTGTGGACTCAGGATATGAAATTGCTTTTGCTACTTGGTTACACATAGATACTGAGGCCCTCCCTGGAGTTATTTCTGTCTTACATGTAATTCGTGGAAATAACTACATGCTGATCAATGAACTTTGTCTCACCTGTCACTTATGGTTCCAACTTGGTTCAAAAGTAAACTCAGGGTGTATAGCAGGTAGGGTGTTCAATACCCGGAACCCTAGAGGGTCCCTTAAGCCCAGCAGGAGTGACCTTTGAGCTTTGTGTCAAAAGTAAGCCCTTAGCTCTCACTGGGTATGGCCCCAAAACAAACAAAAAACAAAAAAAGTAAATTCAATGCCAATGCTCAGTGGTTTTCTGGAAAAGTGTGTGTGTGTGTGTGTGTGTGTGTGTGTGTGTGTGTGTGTGTGTAATTTAACTTTCAGTTGATTTACACAGTAGAAATAACTTGCCCCCTAATTTGAAGTTCAATAGCTGTCCCTGAACGGGCCCTGTAGAGAGGCAGGAGATGCAGAGAGTAAGGCAAGGAAAGCTGGCAAGACTTGGGAAGAGCTAGCATGACAGGGGCTGGCAGAGAACAGGTCCAAAGGCTCTTTGGAGACTGTCTGTGCAGCCAAGTGTGAGAACCTTTCCTTCCATGGGGGCTTCTGCCAGTTTCCTGTGCAAATAAGTCACCTGGGGACCAGGACTGCAGCTCTGACTCAGCAGGTGCTGCCGCTTCTGCAGAAGGGGCTGCGTGGGAGGAGAGGGTCTGTGTGCCCTTCCCTGTCAGCAATGCGAGAGGGGAAATCTCAGCAGAACAGGCATCTCTGAGCACGAGTCCCCGGGGGCTGCAGGGCGAAAGAGACTGGGGTCCACCCAACCAGCTGGGCTGCTTCCAACTGCAGCTTATTTGGGCATTTCTAGTTCGATACCCTCAACCTAAACATTTGACTCCGAAGCTTCGCTGAAAATTCAAAAGAGCAAAAACAAGGACTGGAAATGCAGACCTGACTCACTGGGGTGCAGAGTCCAGGCTGAAGCCCTGCCCCCGACTCTTTAGGGGGAACCATGAGCCTGCTTTCTGCTGTTTTCTGGGGTGCCCTCTATGCTTTTTTTTGGTTTCCAGTCTCAGCCCAAAGGCAAGATTCTAGGTTTTTCCATAACTTTTAATATACATTCTCTCCGGCCCCTTTCTGCCTCATTTCCCTCCATTCCCCACATATAAATGATCTATTCCTGAGATGCCACATGCAGTTTTCTTGAAATCCATCACCTTCTTCCCTCCAAACTTTGGGTCTGTTTCTAAAATATATTCCATATTCTTTTCTCTACTGGAAAAAGGCTAAAATGAGCCCTCAACACCTCACTCAAGCACCTGCTGTCCTGGTGAACAGGGTGAGCAGTACTACACCCGCACTGTGGCTCTCTCTCGGATCCAATTCTATTTGTGGTCATTTGGGCTTTTTCCTCCTGGTCTCTCAGGCTGGCAATGTCGTAAATGAGCTCTATTCCTTTTTGTGCCCCTCAGAGAATGCTTTGCCTTCAAGGAGGTGCTCAATAGCCTCATGAAATCATAAATTGCGAATTAATTTTAGCTTTTAGACTGCATTCCCGGATCTCTCTTTTGCTAATTTACCAAGGGAGTTCTGCAATTATTGCCTGATCACTCTGCATTTCTCTCTCCAGGACCTCCGAGGGCTCTCTCCTCTCCTTCGAACTTTTCTCTTGGCATTGCTTGCTTCATTTAGAGAAGAATGTTTATTGTAGAGCTCCATTCCCAGATAAACACAGGCCCCCTCCAGTTAAGCACTCCTTCGCAGAATGCCTTACATTTTCATGGAATGATTCTTGCCCCCCCCAGCCCTCCCCTCTCCCCCCTTCCCCCTCCCCCCGTATTGCGCTTCAATGAATACTCTCAACCCTGGCACTTAACCAATAAACACACGAGCAACATATTATGGACACAATTGTTGGGCACAGAAAAGTTGACATGTAAGGTCCCCAATGAACAAGGAAGCAAGTACCAGGGAGTGAACTAACTCTTCACAGTGCTCACTCTCCTCCAGAAACATCCCTGCAGTTTCTCCTCAGCTACCTCTTCCCACCTCCAAGCCTCTATAATTTCCAGTATCTCACCGAAACACAGAGACCCAGAGAAATGTTAATTTTTGAAAGAAACCCCAGCACTTGAGTCAAAGTACGATGTAGGCCTTTAAATCCCCAGTATAAGATCCCGCTTTAATGACGTTCTCCTTTGTAAATGGAACTATAGTCAAGTCACCCAGACATACCAGTATACTTTATGTATCAGCTTTCCCAAACATTTCAAAGATACAACTTCTGTGACTTTCTCTTAAAAGGTTAGAAAGGATGATTCTAAATTTCCCCTTATTTCTTTATTTACTTTGGTCTGGTGGGGAGGTTTGGGGGGGAACATACCCTGCAGGGCTCAGAGGCTTCTTCCGGCTTCAGGGCTTAGACGTTGCTCCTGATGGTTCCTAAGGGACTATATGTGGTACCAGCCTGGAACCTGAGCCCCCTGCATGTAGGCAGATTCTCTAGTTCTCCACGGTATCTCCTGAGCCTTAATTTCCCCATTTGCTCTATGGAGTTTGTCTCATTGAACAAGTCTGAAAAATTCCTCAGTGCATCATGTTGTCAGAATGCATCAGCAAATCTCTAAAACAATTCACACCTTTCTATGCATCTTCTCCAAGCAATGCTGGGTAACTTGGTGGCTAATGCATCTTTGAAAATATTTACACTAGAGATAAGGCAGGAAGCAAAGATATTTGCATGCCGACCCTCTCCCATTTAACTCCTTACAAGTGAATGAAGCAAAGCCAGACCAGGGAAATATTTGGGGGTATCTCAAATCGGCAATAATGAGATGAGAGGAACACTGTCTAGGGCACAAAAGAATATTTAGCAAGGAGGCCAGACACAGCTGGCTTTGCAGGTGCAAAACTCTACTTCTCTCTCATCTGAGCTTTCTATTGCCAACCTCTCCTGAGAGTAATAGGAAAGTCTAGAGAATAGAGAAGCCCAGCTCAAAAGTGGAGGAGTGTATCCTCTCCAAGGGATACCAGAGTGCTAGAGGGGATAGAAGGCAGCAAAGAGACTCGCCTACTTGGCTTCTTTGGGAGAAGCTGCATTACTTGGGGAAATACAGTGCCTTGTTTTTATCCTGACTTCCACACAATGCTCACAACCAGTGACCCCCACCTGACTTCTGAGGCATGTCCCTTCCCCAAGAAGAAAGAAGAAATTCATTTCTCATACTTGTCTTGTCTGTCTTCCTCCTTTCCCCGACTCTCCTGTGTAGTGTTTAAAACCCAAAAGAGGGGCTGGAGCGGTAGTACAGCAGGTAGGGCATTTGCCTTGCATGGGGCCGACCCGGGTTCGATTCCCAGCATCCCATATGGTCCTCCAAGCACCATCATGAGTAACTCCTGACGGCAGAACCAGGAATAACCCCTGTGCACTGCCGGGTGTGACCCAAAAAGCAAAAAACAAAAACAAAAACCCAAGACAAGTTCAAGGCATTGTTTCTCCAAGTGGGTTCCATTTGTTGCTAGAAGTTTGGAGTGTGTCTGTCTGGGGGATTACAGACAACTGTCTGGAAGGGGCGCCGGTGACCTGGGAGGGATCTGCGGGGCGAAGAAGAGGGGATCTGGTATATGAAATAGTATTACTTGCGTTTGATAAGAAAAAAATGGGGAAAGAGGGGGAAATCTTGGGAATTCTGGAAAAGGGAGTTACAATCCCTAACAAGGGGTGCGACTCCCTGTCTCGGAGTCCCTCCTGTATGATTCCTCGCTGAAACACCAAGGCATAAAACACAGGCAAAGGGTGCCCAAGATCGACCCCAACCCGATCCAAACACCCAAACCAAACAACTTCTCTCCAAGTTCAGGAGGTGAGAAGTTCTCCAAGACATCTGGGTCGGTGCGTGCGGTCGAGAGGGACGGAAATGACAGCAGCGAGCTCTGCTGTGGTGTGTGTGGATGAGGGCTGAAGCGGGGTGTGTGTGGGGTGTTCCTCCGGGAAGGCTGTTGGGATTCGGGGAGGCCGGTGGCGGCTCAGACTCACCCCCCAGCCAGTGGTCGGAGATGTTCTGCAGCATGGTGACGGGGATGCAGAAAAAGGCGATGAGCAGGTCGCTGAGGGCCAGCGAGCAGATGAAGATGTTGGTGACGGTGCGCATGGCCTTGCTCCGGGTCACCACCGAGAGCACCAGCGCGTTGCCAAAGAGCGCCAGCGCGAAGATGAGCCCGCCCGTGAGCGCCAAGGCCACCTTGGCGCGCGCGGGCAGCTCCGGGGTGTAGACGAGCGGGCGCAGGCGGTAGCGGGCGATGAACTGCTCCCGCGTCAGGTTGTGGTCCCGCAGCAGCCCGGAGAACTGCTCGGGGGTGATGTTGAGCGCCTGCATGCCGCGCGCCCCGAGCGCTGAGCGCACACACCCCACTCCGGGCGCTCTCGGCTCCGGCTCTGCTTCCGACCGGGCCGTTGCAGGGGTGGGGAGGACCCGGTGGCTGCAGCCCGCGACGCTCGGAGGAGAGGATGGAGCGGCGCGGGGAAGCAGGGATGCGCGCGCGGTCCCAGGGCGGGAAGCTGGGATGCGGAGCCTGTCCGCCGCACCCCAAAGTGTGGGGCGGCTCGAAGAAAGTTCCTTCTCCCGCTCTTCCCGGGACCGCGGCGGGCCCGAGCGCTCCCCGGCTTCTGGCCGCGAGGTGCGGCCAGCGCTCGACTCGGGCGCCGCGGAGGTGGGGCTGAGACTCGGCCGCGCGCCGCTCCCCACCCCCCTCCCCGGGCGCCGACGCCGCCCGCGCACCCCTGGGCACAGCAGCCCCGCGCCGCCAGCTCCCGCCCAGCTCAGGGCGCGATTGCTGGGCCCACGGGAGGTGTTTCACCGTCTCCCTCTCTCTAGCCTCCTAAGGGAATAGAGTGGGCCCTAGCTAGCCGATGCAAACTAGCATGTATTCAAATAATGGGTTTTCTCCCCCAGTTTTCAAAGGAAGGCACCTAGGAAACTGCAGAGGTGGCGCACAGAGCGCCCGCTTTGCTCCTGCTGAAGCCGTTTCCCTACACCGTGCAGGATTCGACCGATTCTGAGGTGTGGTGGGGTCGGGGCCTTTTCATTACAACTGTGGGTTCCTGCCGCCGCCCCCCCACCCCCAAATCAAGAAAATCTAAGGAGACTTTTAGCTCCTCAAAGACACCCCCAGCACCCTTTCACATTCACTCCCAGTTCCTGCCCCCGCGCCCCCCCTTCCAGGACGTCAACTGTTCTCTTAAGTGTATAGTGCTATCTCATTGAGCCTTAATTTACAATTTACCATGTGAATGCTATTGAACATTTTCTACGTGGGCTTCTCCAGGACCATCCCCAGAGCTTCACAGGCACATTATTCATTCCTTCTCCGTGTGGTTGCCTTGGACAGAAGGTTGTGCTGTGAGAACCTGCAGCCGGAATACAGAAGGTCCCCCTTTCTGCAGCGTGGCTTTCCGTGGGGTTAGAAGATGCTTCAGGGAAGACAGGCAGATAGACTCAGAGTCACAGAGATTCAGGAAGACCACATTCATGTAACTTTTTATTGCAGCACCTTTTTATACCTGTTCTAGTTTAGTGTCACACACTCTTGTGACTGAAGAGCACTGTGTGCTGAGGGGCTGGCACTTCGGCTCCTTCATGCACACACACACACACACACACACACACATAATTGTTTTTCAAGTAATCTTCTAGTCTGTAGCTCATTTATAGATCAAACATGATCCAGGGTCTACAAGGACAGGAAGACACTCAAAAAATATAGAGTTGATTTCTGGTGCATTTCTGGAGGTTTTGGAAAGGTATTCCATAAACAACTGGCTTGGGGTCAGAAAGATAGCACAGGGATGAGACCCAGCAGTGAATCCTGGAAGAAAGCGGATCTCTGGAGATCTCTCTAGGTCCCGGACTGAACCATTCCACCTTGGCACCTCAGATGGAGCGGGTGTGCCCTCTCTGCCCACTCCATATGAAACCCTGGCAACCAAGAGCATCTAGGAGCAAAACTCAGGTGTGCAGGTTCCAGGACTAAGACTCCAGGCCACATGGTGGCAGTGGAGATGGCTGTCCTTTCCTGTCCCCCCACCCGCTTGCCGTCCTGGCTGTTATGCCCACAATCTGCCTCCAGACACCATCTCAGCACACCAATGGCCTTGATCCAGAGACTATCAAATGAATCTCAAAATGGATTAGCTCCATACAGAGATGTCTCTGGACCCCATCCATTAGAATTTGAGAATTTGAGAATTTCAAAGCGGCCACTCGACCTCTCATGATATTCATAATAAGCAATAGAAAATAAATTATCTAGCATCTGCCCCTGGCAGGCAGGCTTGAATGGTGGTGGGAAAATTCGAGCAAACCATAATGCCCAAAAGTAGAGAGAGAGTATGGGGGAAATTGTCTGCCTTAGAGGCAGGGGGAGGGTTGGGATGGGGGAACAGGGATAATGGAGACGTTGGTGGTGGAAAATGTGCATTGGTGGAGGGATGGGTGTTCAATCATTGTATGACTGAAACTCAAACATGAAAGCTTTGTAACTATCTCACGGTGATTCAATGATAAATAAATAAAGATAGTATAGGGATGAAGACATTTGCTAAGGACCTCACCAGCTAGGAGTTGATCCCTGGTGCCACATAGAGTCTCCTGAGCACCACCAGGAGTGATCCTTGATCACAGAGCCAGGAATAAGTCCTGGCTGCCAAACAGCAACAGCAACAAAAGTGTTCCAGTATTTTGCCCATTTTCTGATTGAATTGTTTAGTTTCTTTTCTGCTGAATTTTTAGAGTTCTTTTTACATGCTGGATATTGTGGATATCAGTCTTTTGTCAAATAATTGTTTTTCAAGTAATCTTCTAGTCTGTAGCCCATTATGTATTCTCTTATGCGTCCTCACAGATCAAAGTTTTTTGTTCTTCATATCAGTTTTTTCTTTTATTGATTTTACTCTGTCAACATACCAAATCCTAGTGCTTCTGAATTTTATCCTATTTCTTTTTTCTTCTTTCTTATTTCTTCCTTCCTTCCTTCCTTCCTTCCTTCCTTCCTTCCTTCCTTCCCTCCCTCCCTCCCTCCCTCCCTCCCTCCCTCCCTCCCTCCCTCCTTTCTTTCTTTCTTTCTTTCTTTCTTTCTTTCTTTCTTTCTTTCTTCTTTCTTTCTTTGTTTCTTTCTTTCTTTCTTTCTTTCCCTTTACTCCCTTCCTCCTTCCCTCCTTCCCTCTTTCCCTCTTTCACTCCTTCCCTCTTTCCCTCCCTCCCTCCCTCCCTGCCTCCCTCCCCCCTCCCTCCCTCCCCCCTCCCCTCCTTCTTTCTTTCTTTCTTTCTTTCTTTCTTTCTTTCTTTCTTTCTTCCTTCCTTCCTTCCCTCCTCCCTCTCTCCCTCCTCCCTCCCTCCCTCTCTCCCCCTTCCTCCTTCCTTCCTTCCTTTCTTTCTTTCTTTCTTTCTTTCATTCTCTCTTTCTTTGTCTTTCTTTTATCTTTCTTTCTTTTACTATTTGGAGGGACTCTCTTTTGCTCCATTATCCATTTTTTTGTCTATACTCCAGTCCTGAGTCGCTAGCTATCCAAGTATTAAACATAGCTAGGATTATTTCTCCTACTTCATTTTTCTATTTCAAAATGGTTATATGTATATTTAGTATCTGAACACATTCATAGAAACTTTACAATAAACTTACTTGTGTTTTCAGGAAATCGTGCAATGATTTTCATAAGAACTGACAGCTTTATCATGTTGGATCTTCTATTTCATCGAGAGTATGTCTTGCAAGATCTCCTTGATTTATCTGGGGAGCCCACCTCACATTGATGGGGCACTGTGTGCTGAGGGGCTGGCACTTCTGTTCCTTTATTCAGAGTGTCATTTAAGCCCAGAGAGTTATCTCCTCAGCCTTCTCTGATTTCTTTCATTGGGTTTTGTAGTTTTCAGCATACAATACGTATATATGTTTCTTGGCTTGTTTGTTTGGGGCCTTGCTAGCAGTGCTCAGGATGCCTGGTGGCCCACTTGAAGTTCTTGACAAACTGGGCCAGCAAGGGCCTAAGAATTTAATGCTGCTTGATCCCTGCAGTGTTGGGGCTACCCAGGTCACCCCGATAATGCTGGGTGGTTTCCAGGGCTGACCTCAGCGATACTCCATGCGATGCTGGAATTGAACATGGGTTAGGGGCCTGCCAGACATGTATACTACCATCTCCCAGTCCCATGTATATGTTTGGTTAAATTTTCACCCCATTATATAACTTTAGCATTTGTTCATAGAATTGGATTTCTAATTTTTCATTTCTATGTATTCATAGCTATTCTATAGAAATTCAGCTATTTTGTTTGATCTTAAATCCATCAATATCCCTGTTTGTCTCTCAGTAATATAATAAAAATTTTTTTAAATCCATCAATATCCCTGTATTTGTTGATTCAAGAAGTGTTTTGGTTTGTTTTCTTTTCAGTAGATTTCTTCATATTTTCAGCAGAGATGATATGTCATCTGAGGAAAGAGGCAGTTGTATTTCTTCCTGTTTGAACTTTATGATATATTTTTTGGCTGATTGTGATGGTTAAAGCTTCCAGTAATGTGCTAAATGGCAGCAATAAGCACCAACATTTTTGCCGTGTTCCCAATCTTAGGGAGAAGCATCAGTTATTCATTCAACATCAAGTGTGATGTTAGCTGCAGATGTTTTTCGCTTGTCTGAGGATATTTCCCTCTATTCTTAGCTGTTTGAGAAATCTCATCGGAAATGATATTGACTGGCTCTTAGTGATTTCACCAAAAAAAAAAATAGTCTGTCTCAATTTCAGGGTGCAAAATCAGTTGTATAAGGTTTCTACATACTAACAATTAGTTGTAAAAAATTTAGGAAACCAATTCTTTTCACAATAGCACACAAATATTACCAAACAACATGTTTCAAATGGGGGCATGGTGTCACCAACAGGTCAATCTGTACCTGTGAGGCAAGTGCATCAGAAACCTGATGGTGCCTTCAGACTTCTAGATACCCCCAAATTGCTACTGTGCTTTTGGCTAGACCCCAACAACTTGGGGATTGGATTTCTAATTTTTCATTTCATTTCTTATGGGCTGGAGCGATAGCACAGCGGTAGGGCATTTGCCTTGCATGCAGCCAATATGGCCAACCCGAGTTCGATTCCTCCGCCCCTCTCGGAGAGCCCGGCAAGCTACCGAGAGTATCTCGCCCGCACGGCAGAGCCTGGCAAGCTACCCGTGACATACTCAATATGCCAAACACAGTAACAACAAGTCTCACGATGAAGATGTTACTGGGCCCGCTCGAGCAAATTGATGAACAACGGGAGGACCGTGATTACCGTGATTTCTTGGCCAAGTTTACCAAGAAAGTAAATGGCCAAAAGTTAGGTATGTTGAAGACACAGCCACAA